TTGTAGTAGCATATTTTAACCGTCGCTTAAAGTTTTTATATTTATTAAAAAAAAAATTTTTGCTACTTTCTGGAATAAATCGTAGGTAAAAACTATAAAATTTCTAAAAAAGTGCTATATAACTACATCTATAAAACGTTTACTTTCAAGCTTTAAAGCGTATACTTATAAATATATAGTGTTCAGTCTGAAAAACTTTAGCAAACATCCTTTATATTTCGTCTATTGCAGTCAAAAAAAAAAATCACTTTATTAAAACTTTTTTTGGTTACTTTACGTGTAGAATTCAATTCTTTTTCGATGAAACTCGATTATAGTCAACCTGAAATCCCTTCTTTTTAGTTTCTAATAGCACATTTTTACCGTCGCTTAAAATTTTTCAATCTATTTAAAAAAATTTTTTTTGCTTTCTGGATTAAATAATAGTTGAAAACTATCAGATTTCTAAAAAAGTGCTATTTAACAGAAGCTATAAAGCGTTTTTCTTCAAACTTTGACGCGTATACTTACATTTAGCAAGTGTTTTGTCCTAATAAATTTAGCATACACAATGTATATTTCGACCAATGCTGTCAAAAAAAGAGAAAAAATCATTTTATTACAACTTTTTTTGTTTACTTTACTTGTAGAATTCAATACTTTTTTGACGAAATTCGATTGTAGTTAACCTGAAATCCATTCTGTTTAGTTTCTGATAGCACATTATTACCGTCTTTAAAAATTTCTGAATATATTTAAAAGAAATTTTCGCTACTCTCTGGATTAGATCGTAGGTAAAAACTATAAAATTTTTAAAAAAGGTTTATGTAACAAAAGGTTTAATACGTTTTCTTTTAAGCTTTAAAGCGTATACTAACAAATAAAAAGTTTAAAGTCCGAAAAATATTAGCAAAATTCATTTATATTTTGACTACTGCAGTCAAAAAAAAAGAGAAAACATCATTTATTGAAACTTTTATTAGTTACTTTACGTTTAGAATATAATTCTTTTTCGACGAGATTCTATTTTAGTTAACCTGATATTTATTCTGTTTAGTTTCTAATAGCACATATGTTCGGCGATATTTACGTTGTTAGAATAGTTTATATTGCGCGCGGAATAGGATTGGCGGCGTAGGCGTTAATTTGGTTGCGAGGGGGCGCAAGGGCTGTCGAAAAGCATGCGGGCATGAGGCATGAGAGAGAGCTTTGAGGTGTGTGAAGGGAATAGGATGCGTGGGGCCTGGTGCTTGCACTTTAGTCTCATTGTGGCATTTATTCTGGTTTGAGCAAAAAGCAGAGTGTTTTCCATTTGAGCTTCTCGCCAGCTTGTTCGTGTTCTAGGAAACGTAGCTAGAGCATGTGAAAGTGTGGAAGGATTGTATGAAGTTGTCTGGTGTCTTGTCCCCAACAGCATTGTAGTCGGACAGTTGTAGCGAAATACCTGCAACCTGTCGCCAGGCTACCAACGTGGGACTGTAGTAGGACAGTTGTAGCGAGATACCTGCAACCTGTCACCAGACTACCAGCGTGGGATAAGGTTCTGGCCAGACAGGCCATCGTTAGGTGCGATAAGAGATAGCGTGCGTTCGGTTGTCGCCTTGCGTCGGAAGCGAACGRTAAGAGAGCTCTCTAGCGTGCGACCAAAAGGTAACTTGTGACGTTATTTTAATAATCTATTTTCTTTTCAGCCTTTTGTTTGTTATTGTACGTTATACCAGTTTTATGAAATAAATTGTTCTCTTGCCCCGGCTTTTCTCTCAACTCCGTGAGAGTTTTTACGCCGAGGCAAGTAGCTTCGTGCCGCGTAAAAGTGTTKTGTTCATTTATCTGTCCTGTCCTATCTCACTTATTCCAGCGTTAAACTTTTTAGTAGAACTCATTGGGAGATATTTGACGATTTTCTGGTCACCTATATAAATACTAAAAACATTGGTGCCTCGGGTGAGGAATGAGTGATAGGTTGGATTGATAAATTAGTAAAATCGGAAAACGCTTGCGTCTTTGATTCTCTGTTCTTTGTCGTTGACTTTTTTGTATCTTTGTATGAGTGTTGCATCATCGCTCTTTGTCCGCGGGGATCACGTGGTGCGTTCGGATTCGAGACGTGCCACGTGTTAGCGCTTTACTTCCGGCCGCACAATTTACCTTCACTTAGCTAGTTCTTTACTTCCGGCCGTACGGTTTACCCCCATTTAGTTAGTGCTTTACTTTAAGCCGCACGGTTTACCCCCACGTGGTTGGAGCTTTATTTCCGGTCACACGGGTTCCTCCTTCCGGTTAAGACTTAGGCTGAGCGCTAGGTCCGTTGGTAGGGACGCGAACAGTGAGTAGTGGGGGTTCTGAGAGTGGGACCACGGTGGGGCGTCATAGCGCCGCGTTTCCTTGGTTACGGGTTAAAGATCCGTGTCTTCTTGCACGCGCGTTCTTCTCTTTCCCCTCTCCTTCGTCTACCGTTTCGGAGAGCAAGAGTGGGGATAAGACAGCAGCCCTCCGTTTTATAGTTGTCGTTACATTTAGTAATTCCGTTTTAATTCTTTAGATTCGCCCATCATGCCTCCTGCTGCTTTGAGTAAGTTGGTCGCCCTGCAGAGGACGCGGTTTGCCGAGCTTAAAAGTATCCATCGTCGGTTAGTGGCTAGACCGCTTGCGTCCCTGGAGGTCGATCTGATTCAGCCGGGAATAGATGCGTTGGCTACGGTATTTGCGACGGTGCGGCAGACCCACAAAGAGATCGCAGTCAGACCGGACGATGTGAGCGACCTGTATATGATAGAGGATGAAATAAAGAAAATCCGTGAGGCATACGATGAAGCCTTTCGTGCGTTTGTAGCGTTGCGTCGATAACTTATCCAGGCAGAGACGCCCACCCTCACAAGGGAATCTTCCAACCCCCAGGGGTCCGGATTAGATCCGAGTTATTCGGAGCTCCCAAAGATGTCTCTGCCGAAGTTTTTGGGCGATGAGGAGGATTGGGAGAACTTTTTTGACAGTTTTAGGTCCATGGTGCACGATGCCCCGCGACTGGACGATACCACCAAGTTGCGATATCTGAAATCGTGTCTAGTCGGTGAGGCTGCAGGATGGATTAAGGATGTGTCGACTAGCACTGCGAATTATGCTAGCACTTGGGAGGCGTTAAAGGCACAGTATTATAATCCGATGCTCCTTCTGTTTAAAAAACTTCAGGCATTGTGGGATCTTCCGCGTCTTAGGAGGGAGTCCATCGCGGAGCTGCGTTCACTCCTTGATAGGATGCAGTGTATCGTTAGGTCTCTGAAGAATGCGGGTTGGCCGGTAGAGAGCTGGGATAGCATACTTTATTTCTTGCTGGTTACGCGATTGAATGTGGACACGCGCAATTCGTGGAATGCGGAACTCATTTCGATGGAGGGGTTGAGCAGAGCTTCAGGATCGGAGTCAGGAAGGAGAGGCGCTCCTGGGCCCTGCTTTATGTCCACGTTCGCGGAATTGATTGGATTCCTCGAGAATAGGGCGCGGGTTTGTGCGGTGCAGGGGGAAAACGAGGGGAAAAAAGGGTAGCCCCCCCTCCTAGATCAGGTCTCCCCCGCAAGGTTCACAATTCGAGGGGTCCGGGGATCACGAATAAGAAGTTTGGAAGTGGTGTCCAGTGTCGACTTTGTTTTAGTTTACACCAGGTGACCAGGTGTGACTGGTTCAGGTCAATTGCGGTACCGGAACGGATACGAGAGGTTGGTCGGTTGGGCTTGTGTTCCAATTGTCTCAGGCAGCATTCGGTGAAGTCTTGTCCCTCTAGGCGGCGCTGTTCCGCATACAAGGGAAAGCACCATACGCTCATCCATACGCCTAGTAGAGTAGGAATGCAGAGACCCGTTTCCAGAACGGTTGCGGGAGGTTCGGGAATTAATGAGACTGGTGCGCCGCCAGTAAGTTTGCATGCGGCTACGTTCTCGGGTAGCGTTAGGAGTATTCTGCTTGCTACTGCACGAGTTTAGTTAGCAGGTACTAAGGGGAAGGAGACATGGGCCCGTGCGCTTCTGGATCAGGGATCGGAGGTTTCCTTTATTTCTGAAACGATCACGCAGTTACTCGGTTTGCCTAAGCGGCGTACTTATGTGCCTCTTTCAGGACTTGGGGCAGGAGACGTGGGTACAGCCCGGTCGGGGGTACGAGTTACTATCCGGTCGGCGGTCGATACCACCTTCCAGGTAGAGGTGGATGCTTTGGTGTTACCAAAACTAACTTCCCTGCTTCAGTCTGTCAATTATGCTTCCAGTGTTAGCGGATACCTGTTCAAGGACATTTCGTTAGCTGATCCAGAGCTTGTCGTCTCGAAGCGGATTGACGTAAGCTTAGGTGCCGAAGTTTACGGCCAATTACTCTAGCCGGGGTTGAGAAGATCCTCGACGTCGCAGCTCGTCGCGCAGGATACGGCGCTTGGGTGGATCATCTCCGGACCGGTGGATGGAGGAGCTGCACGGCGGGCGGAGACGACAGCGACTACCTCTTCTGCGCTGGTTTTGCACTGTTCACCTCAGGAGGAGTTGAATCACATTTTGCAGCGGTTTTGGGAGCTGGAGGAGGTGTCGGAGGCACCTAAGAGATTGAAGCCAGAGGAGGAGAAATGTGAGCTAATTTTTCAGGAAACGCATCGGAGGGGTTAGAGAGGTCGGTACGTGGTGCGGCTACCGCTGAAGCAGGAGCTTCCCCCAGTGGTCGCGGAGACAAGACGGATAGCCCTTAGCTCTCTCGCTTGTTTGCATCGTAGATTTGCACGGGATTCACGATTGGCTCAGGCGTACTGTGACTTCATGAGGGTGTACGAGGAGCTAGGCTACATGTCACGAGTCCCGAGGTCGGAGGTCCTGCGCCGAGAGGCAGCAGGATGAATCCAGGTGAAAACTAAGGGCGGTATTTGATGCCTCTCGGCGTACGAGGGACGGACACTCGCTAAATTCCTTTTTACTTACAGGCCCTCCATTACAGAGCGATCTTTCTTTAATCTTGCTCAATTGGTATTCACGGCTGACATTGTAAAGATGTCTCGTCAGATTCGAGAAGAGCCGGAACATCAGGATTACCAGCGAATTATCTGGTCGCCCGACGCAGCATCGGAACCGGTGGAATTTCGTTTGAATACTGTCACTTATGGCACAGCTTGCGCTACCTACCTGGCGATTCGTACTCTGTCGCAGTTGGTACGGGATGAGGGTTCGCGGTACCCATTGGGGTCTTGGTGTTTGGAGTCGGAGACATATGTCGACGACACTTTTGCCGGTGCACGCGACATACCGACGGCGGTTAAAAAAAAGGATGAACTAGTTAAGTTATTAGATTCTGCTGGCATCCAACTAGATAAGTAGGCGGCTAATTCTATAGAGGTTCTTCCAGATTCTGCACGACCGGGCGTGGAGAAACACATAGAAAGTGATCAGACAGTCGAAACGTTAGGTGTTCGATGTGTCCCGGAACAGGACGAATTTAGGTTCGATGCGGCTAGCGTGGCAGACTTGGCTGCCGCCCACACCAAAAGGTCCGTTTTTTCGAATATCGCTCGCCTATTCGACCCATTAGGATGGCTCTCCCCGGTTACGGTTGTTGCCAAAATATTAATGCAAGATATGTGGCTTTTGAAGTGTGATTGGGACTCACCCTTACCGTCGGAGCTTCGTGAGCGTTGGTATGAATATTGCCAAAGTTTGGTTACCTTGCCGAGTTTATCCGTAGGGCGCTGGTTAGGTGGCACTTCGAACTCTTCCTACCAGATTCATGGCTTCTCTGATGCGTCTTCGCACGCGTACGCCGCAGTTGTATACCTGCGTATTGATAAGGGTGATGGGAAGTTTCAGGTGTCGCTATTAGCTTCAAAATCTAAGGTAGCTCCTGTAAAGACTGTGAGTATTCCTAATTTAGAACTTTGCGGAGCAGCTCTTCTCGTTAGGCTTATCCGTCATCTAACGAGTTTGGATTTCTTACAGAAACGCCCAATTTTTGCCTGGTCAGATAGCCAGATTGAGCTTACCTGGCTTCGTAAGCATCCATTCCACTGGAAAACCTTTGTAGCCAACCGTGTCTCCCTAATTCAGACTCAACTACCATCGGCATCATTGTCACATGTCCCGAGCAAGGAGAATCCTGCCGATTTGGCATCGCGAGGAGTAGCACCGAAAGAGTTAGCCAAGAGTGCCCTATGGTGGCACGGCCCTTCATGGCTGACCAGGCCTCCCGTCCAGTGGCTACGTTCTATTGAAACGGTTCGAGTGAACCATGTCCGCTACAGCTCGAATGAGTCCGAGATCCTGACTCGGTTCTCCTCGTTAACCAAGCTTCTTCGATTTGTCGCATATTGCAGGCGGCCCATCGTCCGGTTGCGGAACGCTCACTAGTGATAGGGTCTTCGTCTCATTTTCTGACCAGTGCTGAGATTTCCGACGCACGAATACTGTTCATTCGCATAGCCCAGGCAACCGCCTTTTCGACAGAGATCGGACTCTTAAAAGCAGGGAAGAGATTGCCGAAAGGTAATCGGCTTAGCACGTTAAACCCCTTCATGAGTGAGGGAGATTGTCTCTTACGGGTGGGAGGCCGGTTGACACGTTCTCATCTAGCATTTGATCGGAAACATCCGCCAGTCTTGCCTCAGCACTCGCATCTTAGTCGACTATTTGTGCGGCATGCACACCACCAGTGCCTCCATGGGGGTCCGGCTTTAACATTGGTTTATCTGATGTCGCAAGTATGGGTCTTAGACAGGAATCGGTTGATCAAATCAGGTATTCGAGCTTGTATGCCTTGCCAAAGGACTAAGCCTCAGCTGGCTCACCAACTTATGGGTGAGTTACCCGTGGATCGAGTGGTAGGAAGTAGGGCTTTCGCCAATTCTGGCCATGATTATGAGGGTCCTGTACAAGTCCGGATGTCAAAGGGTCGTGGAAATCGATCCGGTAAAGGATACATCGCTTTGTTTGTATGCTTCGCTACTCGTGCTATCCACCTCGAGCTGGTTAGCGACCTAACCTTGGAATCTCTGTGCAAACCGTCGGTTCATAGGAAGACGGAGTATTTGCCGGTATCTTTATAGTGACAATGCTACCAATTTTCAAGTGGCCGATAAGGAGCTTAGGGCTATGTTCCGCTGGGCCTCGTACTTTTATCATAGGATGGCATCTCTCCTCGCAAACGACGGAACGAACTGGACTTTCATTCCTCCCAATGCCCCGCAATATGGTGGGTTGTGGGAGGCAGGTGTCAAGTCGGTCAAGCACCATTTAAAAAGAGTTGTGGAAATCGAAGCTTGCCTTAATTCTCGTCCATTGGGCCCGCTGAGTTCAGACCCAGACGATCTGCAAGTGCTCACTCCCTCTCACTTCCTCAATGAGGGAGTGTCTGCTTTGATTCAGGACGCCGAGTTATCCACTTTGCCGGAGAACCGGTTAAATAGATTTCAACTTCTTCAGCGCGTCCGCAATAATTTTTGGAAGCGGTGGTTGTCGCATTTACAGGGTCGAGAGAAATGGAGAAATCCTTCCCAAAACTTCCGAGTCGGGCAGCTGGTACTGATAAGGGATGATCGGTATCCTCCCTCAAAGTGGCCGTTTGGCAGGGTAACCAAGTTGCACCCTGGCCTTGACGGAATAGTGCGAGTGGTCACCGTCAAGACCAGCATCCCCTTGCGCCAGCGCCACATTGCGCGCCTGTGCCCCCTCAGGTTCGACGATAGTGACATTTAAGAAAACCAGTCAACAGCAGCTCGTTTTGGTTCGTCAGTACGACAAAGGCGGGCGGGATGTTCGACGATACTTACGTTGTAAGAATGGTTTATATTACGCGCGGAATAGGATAGGCGGCGTAGGCGGAAATTAGGTTGCGAGGGCGCGCAAGGGCTGTCGAAATGCATGCGGGCGCGCCTTATCATGCAAGAGGCACGAGAGAGAGCCTTGAGGTATGTGGACGGGATAGGATGCGTGGGGCATGGTGCACGCACTTCAGTCTCATTCTGGCATTAATTCTGGTTTGAGCAAAAAGCAGAGTGTTTCCCATTTGAGCTTCTCGACAGTTTGTTCTTGTTCTAGGCAACGTAGCTAGAGCGTGTGAGAGTGAGGGAGGAGTGTGTGAAGTTGTCTGAACTCTTGTCCCCAACAGCATTGTAGTCGGACAGTTGTAGCGAAATACCTGCAACCTGTCACCAGGCTACCAACGTGGGATTGTAGTCGGGCAGTTGTAGCGAAATACCTGCAACCTGTCGCCAGGCTACCAACGTGGGATTGTAGTCGGACAGTTGTAGCGAAATACTTGCCACCTGTCGCCAGGCTACCAACGTGGGACTGTAGTCGGACAGTTGTACCGAAATACCTGCAACCTGTCGCCAGGCTACCAACGTGGGGCTGTAGTCGGACAGTTGTAGCGAAATACCTGCAACCTGTCGCTAGACTACCAACGTGGGTTAAGGTTCTGGCCAGACAGGCCATCGTTAGGTGCGATAACAGATAGCGTGCCTTCGGTTTTCGCCTTGCGTCGGAAGCGAACGGTAAGAGAGCTCTCTAGCGTGCGACCAGGTACCTCGCGTCGTTATTTTTTTAATCTATTTTCTTTTTACCCTTATGTTTGTCATTGTACGTTATACCAGTTTTATTAAAAAAATTGTTCTCTTGCCCCGGCTTTTCTCTCAACTCCGTGAGAGTTTTTATGCTGAGGCGAATAGCTTTGTGCCACGTGAAAGTGTTGTGTTCATTTATCTATCCTGTCCTATCTTACTCATTCCAGCGTTAAACTTTTTAGTAGAACTCATTAAGAGATATTCGACCATTTTTTGGTCACCTATATAAATGCTAAAAAAAACATATTTACCGTCGCTTAAAATTTTCTTGATATATTTAAAAAAAATTTTCGCTACTTTCTAGATTAAATTGTAGGTAAAAACTATAAAATTTCTAAAAGAGTGCTATTTAACAGAAGCTTTGAAACGATTTCTTTCAAGCTCTACAGCGTATACTTACAAATAAAAAGTGTTAGGTCCAAAAATTTTTAGCAAACCTTATTTATATTTCGACAACTGCCATCAAAAAAAGAGAAAATATCATTTTATAACAACTTTTTTTGGTTACTTAACGTTTAGAATGCTATTCTTTTTTGACGAAATTTGACATTTTTAACGTCTCTGAAAATTTCTATATATATATTAAACGCTTGCTTCCAAGCTTTAAATCGTAAGCTTACGAATATATTTATAAGATCTGAATACATTGAGCTGATATCACTGAAGCTCCGACAACTGCAGTCCATGGAAGTAAAAAAATCATACTATTACAAATATTTTGGTTTTCGCTAAGTGAAGAATTTAATTCTTTTTAGAAGAAAATCAATTGTAGTTAACCTGACGTCAAACCTGTTTTGTTTCAAATAGCACATTTTTTACCGTCTCTAAAAATTTTTCACTATAGTTAAAAGAAATTTTGGCTTCTTTCTGGATTGTATCTTTTTTGGAAACCATCAAATTTCTAAAGAAGTGCTTTCAAACAGAAGTTATAAAACGTTTGCTATCGACTTTCATGCGTAAACTTACAAATATAAATATTGAGTCCGAAAAAATTGTGCTGATATCACTGATATTGCGACCACTGCAGTCCAAAAAAGTGAAAA